TCTCCAACAGTTTCTTCTTCCACTTTGTCCCCTCGCCAGCGACTATTGAGCTCCAGGCTACGTAGCCCTTCCCAAGGGCAATTTGCTAGACCTCCTTATGGGCAAGGTATCTCGTCTTTGTTGCAGCAATGTCACTGAATTGTGCTTTTCCTAAGATCAGCAGTTAGATGAAAAGTCCTCTGTCAGAATGCAGGTTGAGTTATTTAATACAAGGTATTACTTTGGTGGTTCTCAGGGTGCCCAGTTCTTGAGGACATTGCCTAATCAGTGTAATGTGGTGCCTCAGACCTTTGGTCCTGCAGTCTGATCTGTGCAGGATCCCATGATCTGCAGAGGAGGTGACAGAATTAGGTACTGAGTTGGAAAAAGGGCTATGTTCCTTATTGAGCAGTGACTTCACTGAATGCTCACTGAAAGCACATTTGTACTCAGAACATGACTGTCTCTGAGGTATATTGGTCTTCCTCATATGGAGGCTTTTGTAGGTCATGTATAGTGCTACCTTGCCCACACCTAGGTAATAAGGTGTTCCTTCATGCTGTGCTGGCATTCTGTGTTTTCTTTAATTACTTTTTAAGCCACTTTCTTCTTTTTTTCTAAGTGACAGGTCAGGGTTGCACATTCCTTTTGAGGACTGTGCACATCAAAGTCAAGCCTTCTTTATGGCTGTGATCTACCCCAAATGTTAGAGGCTTGCTTTCTGGCAGAGTATCTGCTGACCCTGGATACTGGAACAGAGGGTCCATTACACATCAAGGTCTGTCACCTATTGAGAATCCCAGTCTCAGTGACTTTGCTAGGTAGAAAAGTTTTTTCTTCCCTCCGATGCAGGGATGCCCAAAACAGTATTGAGTGACCTGAGTGTTTTAGTAAATACCTTCTGTGCTATATGTAGCCAACAATGTTTTGTTCAATGTGGCCTCAGTGTTACACAGTGAGAACCATGCAGCTGGGCTATTGTATTTGCCATGCTTCAGTCAGACACAGTGTTGTGTGAAGGTCCACCAGCTTGCAAAGCTTTAGGATGGGAGTGGACCTTAAATAATACAATCAAAGATGAGATGCATGGCATGAAATAAAAACAGATTTCTTTACGGAGGTTGTATATCAGCTTACAGCTAGCCATGCAATTAGGAAGTTAATAGCCTAGGAGTGTTCAGTTAATATATATATATATATTAGTTAATATATGTATATATTTTCATATATGTTTTTTGGAGGCAGGTCTGAGCTAGGATGTGAAAATTGCTGCCCTTTCTGAGCGAGGGGCCTGTAGCTCCATGCTACTCTTTCTCCATTTCTGAGCTGAGTATGCCTCTGTGTAGCAGTGGTTTTTCAGGTAGAGAAGGAGACCCCTTCCTTTTACAGGTTAGGAAAAAAAATATGGAGATAATTCCCATCCTTTCTCCTTTACGTTTATGCTAAGGATAGGATTGAACAAGTGGTTGTGTGGAGCTCTTTCTGCTCTCGTTTATGTCCAGGTTGGTCAGATAATGCATTTCATTGCATTTTAAAATATACTTTGTCATATGCACAGCTTTCTTCAGAACAGTGTGTTTTCTTCTCTGTTTCAGGTTACAATGGCAGACCTAATCTTACAACAAAAAATGGAAATGGAAAAATAATACCTGGTAATAATGGAAAACCAAGTGGACAGAGAGTAATCAATGGCCCTCAAGGAACAAAGTGGGTAGGGTGACCTTCTCTCCAAATTCAAGATGCTCTGACCTTTTATTGTACTTACATTTTCATTAAGAAAAGAGAGGAGAACAGTGGTCTCAGTCAATGAAGGTGTAAAGCAAGTTTATACTTCGTGATGTAGTTTCTACTGTTCCATTGAAATCTAATGATAATTTCTGAATTTCATTATTTGAACATTTTAAATGTCTGATCTAAAGCCTGATGGCTTGAATTTTCAACTATAGCATTACTCCCATAGATGTAGTGAAACATTTTTTCCTCTAAGTCAGTGGGACTTAAGCTCTCCAGTGAGTCAGGGCTGCGCAGTGTGAGTGGGGACTGCCCAGGATTGCTGCTGTGGTGGATGTGTTCAGCAATGCTTCTCACAGACTCATGCTCCAGGGAGAAGCTTGTGAGCAAGAGTATTGAAATGTAAAGTTACTATGTAAGTGTCACAATGTTTTAAATGTACATGTGTAGGTATCTTTAAGTATTTTGCCATTCATACAGATATTTCCAGTGGTATTTTCAGAAGACCTCAGATGATATTGATAGGAAAGCCCTACTAGCTGCCTACAAGCCCAGAGCTTGTCTTTTAAAATCCTTTTCAGTGAGTTTATAACCAACCAATGCAGGGAATGAACTGTTCTTTCCTGTGTGTTTTCCCAAATGCTGAGCATGAGGAGTTTGTGACCAGTCTCCCTGGTATCAGTAGAGCTGCTCACATGCTGCATGACACATGGAGACTTTTATTTTATGGCCACTTCAATCTTACCATTTGCATTAGAGCAACACAAAAAGGTGTATTAGATATGCCACATTCAAGGGAGTCATTTTACAGAACATGCCCAAAGACCTATAAATAGACTCCAGAAAGCAGGCTGGGAAGGTCCTTTGGAGGCCATGGGGCATCTCTCTCTACCCCATGAGAGGAGGACATTGCTGCTAGCAGGACAAACACCTTGTAAAGCAAGAGGATCTCTGTCAACATCTGGGGCCTGGAGGCCTTCAGAGACTGATCTCGTGATCTGCTGTCCCTCCTGCTCCAGTCTTTTCCCCAGCACAAAATCTGTCTTGCCAACTGGGAACTGCTGCTCACATCCTCATCCCAGTTTCCTTCCAGCACCTAACACCTTTTGCATTTTTGTGTTCTGTGGCTCAGTGTCTGTAACCTCAGGTTAAACCAGCGTAGAATTCAGCTATTTTGGGCTGAAATAGCAATGAGGACTGAATTTTAACTGCAGTTACCTCTTGAATTCAATCCAAGCTCTTAGACAGATCTGGTTTATGAGACAGAGGCTTTTCTTCAGTCTCCTTCTCCAATTAATATCTTAGCTACTTTGTTTTCACTGCTGTTCCAATCTAAATTATCTAGTTTAATTTTTCTTTTTTTTTTAATTAGTAGACATACTTTAGAACCCTATCTTCAAAAGGACTCAGGGTCATACTCAAATCAGTATTATAGGAATCTACCTTAGGAAGTGCACAGCCCAAGAAAATCAAGAGAGTCTCTCCTTTGCACATGAGAGCTACAGTAGGCAATATGAATATGGTTGCTGTACAGCTCTGGAGCCCAGTTCCTGGGGATTTGCTCTCTTCAGCAGTGAATTTTTGGTGATTACTGTACAATTAGTGACTCACTTTTAAAAGTCTGTGGATGTTGTAGCTATTCCTGATCACACTTTACATCTGAATTTTCCCAGGATTTCTGTTGCTGTGAAATTCCACCTCTTCTTGTGTTAGCTAAACTTGAGTCCATCTATTGCTTTTAGATTGTAGATCTTGACCGAGGGCTAGTGTTAAATGTTGAAGGAAAATACCTGCAAGATTCCCAAGGCAACCCTCTCCGAGTGAAATTAGGAGGAGACGGACGTACAATTGTTGGTAAGTGATAGCTTCCTTCTTACAGAAAAAAATGTACAGTTTTAGTGCACATGGTACAAGTCTTTGAGCTACTGAATGCTCCAGGCATCCCCAGGTACCATGCATGCCATTTGGAGTTGCTTGTACCTCAGGTCTCCATCAGGCAGTTAGCACATTGCAGGACCTGGGAAGGTGACAAGGATCACCCAAGTCCGTCTCACTTGTATCAGCATTAGAAAGGACTGCAGAACTGAGCCAGAATAAGGATCGATGCTTGTTTATGTCTTTGTACATATAGAAATAATTATTCCACACCACTAGCACTGTATCAGCCATGTGTATGTGATTATTTTATTTTTTCTTCTGACACTGCCCACAGATAACAAAAAAACTCTGTGTGTGATCTGTGAAAACACTGCTGTCTGCGTATCGGTCTACCTGTGTAGATCTCTTGAATGCAAATTCAGTTCCTGCTGTTAAACTGGTTACCAAGTATATTTGCAGTATCCAGAATTTGGCACAAAAGTTTATCTGCAGTGACAGCATCTCACCAGCTCATCCCAGTTTTCACTTGCACATGTTTGACATTAGGAAGCAGGATATGGGTTCATCATACCTTTCATCAACTATTACAAGACTGGCTTAGATTAAATGCAGGCACTCTGCATGTTGTGATCATAAAGTGAAACTTCCCTGATGTCTTCCCAAGAAGTGTTTTATCAAACAGCTCATAAAAGTGAATACCACTGTGGTTTATCTGAGGTTTTTCTGAACCATACAGCAGCTTCCTTAGCCATAGCTCTTTCCTAGACAGCAACTTTATTCTTGCTCAGCTTAATTAAAGGAGGCTGTAATCACACTCTCAGTGCTCTTGTGGTATCTACTGTTGATAAATACCATGCTATAAGCCTGAAATGGGTTAATGGTGAGATTTTATTTGTTTTATTCTTCTCCCCTAGATGAAAACGGTGCCCCGATGGTGAGTCCTGATGGATTACCATTGTTTGGACATGGCAGATTTAGTAAACCTGTAGCAAGTGCACAAGATAAACCAATAATAAGCCTTGGAGGGAAGCCTCTCATTGGTCTTGAAATGATTAAGAAGACAACCACTCCCTCAACTACTACAACAACACCTCCAACAACTACCACCACCACAACTACTACAACCACTACAACAACTGTTGCCACAACTACTACCACCACTCCTGAACCAACCACCACTGAACCACCCACTGAGAAGCCAGCCCCAACCTGTCCTCCAGGCACCTATGCACAGTATGACAACGAGGGCAACTTGCTGCTGGGGTTCGATGGCCTGCCAGAGTGCAATGCAGAAGGTAACTTCCTTTTGTGCTGTTTGAACTTCTTTGGTTGTGTTGTTTGTACGGTGCAGCTGCACAAATGTAAAGCAGGAAAGAGTCTGCCTCTAAAGTTTTTTGTCAATGTGGTGAGGTAGGAGCTGAGATTAGTGCAGCTGGTTTGGACATTAAATATCTTTTTAATTGGAAAATGTCAACTTTCCCCAAAGCTGTTTTTTGTGGAAATATGTTGATTTTGGCAAAGTTCTCACTTTGTGTTGGATCCAGTCTTGTCACATATATTCATGCACTTGAGCACAAGTATAGGTAGTAGTTCTGTGGTAAAAGCACTCACCTATGATGAAGTCCTCACTCCAATTCAGGCCAGGGAAGGACCTGAAAGCACTGTACATTTTGTCTATTTTGTGTTCATTTGTAACAATAAATTCTGAAAAGTCTCTCTTTTGAGCCATAGTGGGACCAGGTTTTACAAAATGAGATTCTTGTTCTCTTGCCATCGCTCAGAGATAGAG